TGTGTGTGTGTGTGTGTGTGTGTGTGTGTGTGTGTGTGTGTGTGTGTTACTCCGACAGTTGCAAAGCCTGCTGATATTTAGTACCCAGGCTTCTACATCATGGCTGTCATCCAAGTAGAAACTAAGTGTTGACGCTGATTAAAATTTACTTTTGAGAGGAAAAAGTAAAGAAGGGACAAAAATACAAACTTGCTATAAGCTGTTTTAAAGTCACCATAATCCCAAAGGACCATAGGGCTGCTCTCTCATCAGACAGGCAACTGTGGTAGTTTAAATTGAGGGTCACCACCTGTTAGAGAAGGGATGAGATTTGAGTAGGTGAGACCTTCATAGTAACCAGTGCAGGAATTGAATCTGCGCAAGTGGCATCACTCTTCATCACAAACCAACTACCCAGCCACTTGAGCTTTGGTATCTGACTTGAGCAAGAAATGTTGTGTTGATCCATCTTTGTCTCATCCAGAGGTCACCAGCATCACGGATACCATTCTTTAGCCATTTTGATTCATTCTACATGATATGCAGAAATAGCTGCAGGCACTGAATACTCAAGGCTATGGTCTTTGACAACATTGCAGCAAGAGTACTTGAAGAAGGCTTCTGCTCCAAGCTGTGCCCCTTGCCAGGTTTTTCCCGCACAGCTACAGTGCTGGCATCTACCAGACCTTGTGCCACGTGCCCTGGGTATGTCCTGCCCACAAAAAAAAGTCATGTAATAATTGACCAACTTTGAGTCCTATTATTCTACACTCGATCATCAGAAAAGTGATTTAGAAATGTTGTTGACAGCGCTATCAAGTGACACTTGCTGAACAAATACTACTGACTGATGCATAGGTTGAGTTTTGTCAGGGCCACTCAGCTCTTGATCTCATTTACAACCTTGGATGAATGTCAAAGATTTAGTTGTGTATTCATAGAAAACCTCCACCTGCAAGTTTCCCGCCAAGCTTCACACCTTCCTGACTTGAAACTATGGCACTGTTCTTTCACTGTTGCTGTGTTTAAAATCTTGGAGCTCCATCCAAAACAGCACAGTGGCTGTACCTGCTTTCCCCCCATTCCTCCTCCCACAAACTGCAGCAGTTCAAAATGACAGCTCACTGCCTTTTTGTATGTAATTGGGGATGGATAAATGTTGGTCGAGCCAGCAATGCCCATGGCCTGTAAACAAATTTTACAGTAACATTGCCACTACACCAGGTAATCACAGTTTAATGTCCTTGGGAGCAAGGAATTGTATCCCACTGTGAAGACGGTTGAAATCTGAATGCAAAAAATCTGTCTAATGATGACCAGGTAACGTCTCCATAGTCCCAGAGAATTATAGGGCCGTTGTGTCATTTGAGACAACTGGTAATGGTTTGACCGGAGGATCTAATGTCTCCAGTGAGGTGAGAAGTTGAGAAGATCGTAGAATCCCCACAGTGTGGAAACAGGCTGTTCAGCATAACAAGTCCACACCGACCCTCTGAAAAGCATCCCAACCAGACCCATCCCTTTACTTGCCCCTGTAAACCCTGCATTTTCTGTGGCTAATGCACCTAATCTACACATTCCTGAATGCTACAGGCAATTTAGCATTACCAATCCACTTAACTTGCACATCTTTGGACTGTGGGAGGAAACCAGGGCACCTGGAAACCCGTGCAAACTCCACATACAGTTGCCCAGGTTTGGAATCAAACTCTGGTCCCTGACACTGAGGCAGCAGTGCCTAAGAACTGAGCTACCGTGCCACCCCTTTCATGGGTCTTTCATAGTGACTTCAGCCAGTACAAGAATTGAATGCGTGCAATCGGCATCACTCTGTTTTGAAAACTAGCTGTCAAGACAACTTAGCTAACAGATCCAACCACTGTCAAAAAGCTCATCTGGTTCAGTTGTCCTTTTGGGAAGGAAATCTGCCCTCCTACCGAGTCTGATCTACGTGTGACTCCAGAACCATGGCAATGATTGATGCTTAACTGTCCTCCGCATTGGACTAAAGATACTTGGTTGTATCAAATAGCTACAAAGCTGAAAGAAGGGGAAGAAACCAAACGGATCACCTGGCATCAACCCAAGCACTGGAAATGACAAACAGCTTTGTTGACCCTGAAAATTCGTCCTTTCCAACATCTGAAGGCCTGTCTAAAATTGAGAGACCTGTCTCAAACTGACTATGATGGTAAAGTAAGATTCTGTGAATATGATTGTGTTCCAGACACCACGTCACCTGCCTTGGTATGTCTTGTTCCACTGGCAGGATGGACCCACCAGAGGCAAAGCAACCAATAATCCGTAATTCATCCCTATCTCCTGAACCTTTGCAGCTCATCCTTCTTGAACTCTTTCTCTTACTCTACACAATGTATCTTCCATATCTTCTCTTTACCTTAAGCAACCATATCTTCCATCACTTGGGCCTTATGCTCTGGAATGCTCTTGCTCTCCCTTTTAATCGCCTTCCTCTCTTTTCAAATACTCTGAAAGCAAGGATTAAATTCAGAATCCTTTATCTCAAACTCTATTCAAACATCTTGACCTTTTCTGCTCCTGTGATAACTGTCCCTCATAAGGTAGCATCAGTGGAGAGAAGCTGTTACATTTCAATTTGAAGTTCCTTCATCAGAAATTTGATTACTCAAGTTCAGAGATTTATGAATTAATGGCATTATCACCACAGCCTGCAGCTTCAATGTTATTGATTTAAGTTAATTTTTTGCTTATGAAAATTTTGGTGACAACAGAAGAAAGATTATGAGCAGAAAGTATGTCGTCTCTGTCATGAAAAGTCTAATAATCATTATGTTAGACATGGTAAAATAATTTTTGCTTTTAGGAATTATGCTTCTGATTTTCACGTTGCAAAGGGTTCAATTCCTACATTACCATGAAGGGCTTTTTTTTCCCAACTGCGACTCCCATCAGTCATCGCTGTCTAATGAGAAAGCAGCCCTGGTAGGTCAGTGGCAACTTTACCTTACAATGCGTTAAATGTTACCCTGTCTGAACCTTTATAATACTTCAGGGCAGATGATTGCATTTCATTATTATCTAGGAGGAATTGTTTCTTCTTTGGCAAAATATTGCTCTAATGCTGGTTCATTCTCTTTTAACAGAAAGAAATTCAAGCAATGAGTCAGTGCCATCACCGGAACATTGTGTCATATTACACCTCATTTGTGGTAAAGGATGAACTATGGCTGGTGATGAAGTTGCTCAGTGGTGGTGAGTGTTTATTCCAGGTATTTCTACAGACTGGAAGGCCTTTCCTTAAATCCAGCTCCGTTTAGCCGGTTTCATTCAAATTTTGAGATTGGGCTGCTTCAGTTGCTCTCTGTTGTGGTTGGAGCAAAAAAAGTTGAGGGTAGAATGCAGAAAACACATTCCCTAACCACGAAATATCAATTTTCAGAATCCCTCCCCCGCCCCCCGCCGTTCTTCTGGAAATCAACTTTCAGAAATTTTTACTATACAAGTTAAATTTTAATGTTGCTGCTCAAACATTCAGTCAGATCATGCTCAATGGACTCAATCCACATCAAAACAGTGCCTGGAGATATAAATTACAATTTGACACTTTGGGTGAAATAAAGTTTCAAGGAAATTGTTGGTTAAGAGTTGCATTTAGCCTGTAAATAGAGGCACTGTGGTGTGTTTTGATTTTTTTTCTGTCACGCGGAATGTTGTCATGCATTAAAATTGGCTCTAAATGTTCCAATTGTTCACATTATCAGTGAATGAAACATCCAATTGGTTTAAAGCTGGCCTTTAATTAGCCTCCACTAACTAAAGTAACATGATGGTTCTAGTAGTAGTCGTGTCCCTACCTTTGGGCCAGAAGGCCTCAGGTCAAGTCCAGCCTGCCCCACAGTCATCATAACATTGCTAAACAGGTTGATTAAAATAACAACAGCTAAAGTGAGCATAGTATTGGAAATAGGAACTAGTGTTGGCCATTTGATCTTTGAATGGCAGAGCAGGATTGAATAATATCATCATGATTGATCTTTTACCTCAATTTCATCTTTTGCACGATGCTTGTGTCCCATAATTCCCTTAGGATCCAAACATAAATCAACTTATTCATGGCTGTCTGAGATTAAACAAAACCCAAAGATTCATAACTAACCTCATGAAGGTAATTTCATCTTGCCACAGTTCTCAATGGGTGCTCCCTGATCTTAGACTATAATGCTGTAGGGAACATATTTTCTCAGTGTCCACCTTTTAGGCTCCTTTAATTTTTGGACCACTTTTCATTGTTCTAAACTCTAGGGAATGTAGTCCTGATCTCCTCACTATTTCTGCTTAGGATAATTGCCCCCTTTCAGGAACCAAGGAACTTGTTGCATTTCCTCTTTCCCCTTCCTTGGGTAAGGAGATGAAAGTTTTTCATGTAATGCTCCCAAGTCTGACGTTACTAGTGCCCTGTACAATTTATCCTCCTATTTAAATCCCTAGCATTTACTGTGTGCAATTTGGAATCAAAGATATAATTTCAAAACTTGCAGATAACTCTGAATTGAGGAGCCAGCCAGTATGGGTTAATTGAATTGTTAAATGAAGCTCAATACAACATGTGCAGTGCATTTTGGTAGGAAGAATAGGAGGGTCATTTATTTGACAGATGCAGGATACAGGAAGAAAAATCTTGAAATACAAAAACCAAAAGCTGGGGATGTGCGTTTCTCCAGCACTTTGTTTATATTTCACCAGGTCTGTCAGCATGTCTGGAAAACCAGCTATGATTCCAGATGTTGTTAACACTGAATAAATTGGATCTGTGAGGGAAACTGGCTTGATAGACCCAGCTTAGTTGGTCTTTAACCTGTGGTGGTCAGTTAGTGAACATACTAGAGAGTGTGTACTTTTAACATTGGTAAAATGTTCACACAACAAAGAGTAGAAATCAGATAACACTAAAATTGGAGGTGTAGTGAACAGCGAAGAAGGCTACCTCTAAGTACAACGGGACCTTGATGAGGTAGTCCAGTGGGTCATGGATTGACAGGTCGAGTTCAATTTAGATAAATGCGAAGTGCTGCATTTTGGAAAGGCAAATCAGGGCAGGACTTGCACACTTAATAATAAGGTCCTGGGGAGTGTTGTCAAACAAAGAAACGTTGGAGTGCAGGTTCATAGTTCTTTGAAAGCGGAGTTGCAGGTAGATAGGATATTGAAGGTGTTTGCTGTGCTTGCCTTTATTGGTCAGTGCATTGAGTATAGGAATTGGAAGATCATGTTGTGGCTGTACAGGACATTGGTTAGGACACATGGAGTATTGCATGCAATTCTGGTCTCCCTCCAATAGGACGGATTATGTGAAACTAGAAAGGAATCAGAAAAGATTTGAGGATGTTGCCAGAGTTGGAAGGTTTGAGCTATAGGGAGAGAATGAATAGACTGTAGTGTCAGAGGCTGAGGGGTGACCTTGTAGAGGTTTATAAAATCATAGGGATGTGGATAGGGTAAATAGGCAAGGTCTTTTCCCTGGAGTGGGGGAGTCCAAAACTAGAGGGCATAGGTTTAAAGTGAGAGGGGAAAGGTATAAAAGGCACCTAAGGAATAACTTTTTCTCACAGACTGTGCAATGAGCTGCCAAAGGGAGTCATGAAGGCTAGTAAGATTACAACGTTTAAAAGGCCTCTGGATGGATATATGAATAGGAAGGGCCAAGAGGGTTATTGGCCAAATGCTGGCAAATGGGACTAGATTTATATTGGATATTTGGTTGGCATGGACAAGTTGGACCGACTGGTCTATTTCCATGCTGTACAACTGTTACATCAGACAAAAAAATTGGTACGATTTCAGTAGAAACCCCAGCAAAATGATTCAAACTTTCGTTATTCCTTCTCTTCCAACAATGTCCTTACAAACAATAAACCCCAGTGACAATTCACTAATATTTCCAAACTAAGGCTTTATATTTAGGTTGACACAGCTGCAAAGGTCTCCTTCAACAAATTATTGCAATTGCACTTGATACTTTTCATCAGCTGAGATTAATCTGAGGCACCTAATACAAATTGCAAATTAGACGTGTTATTATTTTAATTTCAGAGTTTTTGAAGCTGAGTTTTTAGCAGGATTGCTCATCAAAGTGTTACCTTCCTCCTTCATTCAGGCACACCCACAGCACTGTTGCTGTGCTAGGTTATTCTATCTTTATGCACTAAATCATCAACCCCAATTCTTTCATGAGTTGTAAAACAGCAGTAAAAATGCTTGTGTACAAACATGATTCCAAGCCACTTGCACCAAGTCCACAAAAACAATCCTTCAAATTTAAACTTAAGACCATAAATTTCCCTTAACGCAAAAATACAAGATAAAAACTAAACCTAGTTATACATTGTTCCCAATACAGAGGTAATGTTTTCAGTCCATTTTGACTTTTCAGAGCTCTGTAAAATACTTGTACCTCAAATTAGCAAGACTGTTAAAGAAAGCAAAGCAAGTGTGAGGCTTTATTTCCAAAATGATACAATTTTAAAAGGAGGGAAGTTACACCTGTACTGAAACATTGTTAGATCACACTTAAGAGTACCTTACATAGTTCTGATCACCATTTTACACAAGATGTAGAGACAGTGGGAGGAACAAAAGATGTATGAAGATGATAATAGAAATATTGATGTTCATTATCAAGAAATGATTGACAGGATATGTCCCTCTTTTTCTTAAGCAGTGTTGATTATAATAATCAAGGGCAGATCCTCAGCTCATTTCTCCATTTTTTGTTTCTTTTTTGTTTTTTGCAGCCCTACGCTTGCACTTCAATTGCTTGTAAAAGTTTTCTTTTTTTTAACTTCAATAAGCAATATCACAAGGGAAAAGAATACATACACAACATGAAAATTGGTAAAGTTGTGGATAGTGAGGATACAGCGGTATATAGATCAGTTGGAAGGTTGGGTGGAGAAATGGCAAATAGAGTTTAATCCAGACAAGTGTGAGGTGATGCATTTTGATGGTCGAATGCAAGAAGAAAGTGTACACTAAATGGCAGGACCCTTGGGAGATAGCAAGAACTGCAGATGGTGGAGTCAGAGATAATGCAGTGTGGAGTTGGAGGAACACAGCAGCCCAGGCAGCATCAGAGGAGCAGGAAAAGTTGACGTTTTGCGTTGGGACCATTCTTCAGGCCCTTAGGAGCTTTGCTCTACAGAGTGTTCTTGGAGTGCAAACCCATAGTTCCCTGAAACTGTCAAAGCAATTTGATAAGGTGGTAAAGACCTACGGCATGCTTGCATTCATCGGTCAGGGCATTAAGGATAAAAGTTGGCAAGTCATGTTGCAGCTGTTTTAGACTTTAGTTAGACCACATTTGGAGTACTGTGTCGCCAAAATGTAGGAAGCATGTGTAGGCTTCGGAGAAGCTGCAAAAGAGATTTACCAGGATGTTGCCTGGATTGGAGTGTAGTAGCTATAAAGAGAGGTTGGTCCAACCCCGATTGTTTTCACGAGAGTGCCAGAGGCTAAGGAGTGAACTGAGAAGTATATAAAATTGAGAGGCATGGATGGGATGGATAGTTAAATCTATTTTTTTCCAGAGTGGATGTGTCAAATACTAGGAGGCATAGGTTTAAGGTAAGAGGGAGAAAGTTTAAAGGAAAGATGTGAGGCAAGTTTTTATCTTACAGAGGACGGTGGATGCCTGGAATGCGCTGCCACTGCAGAAGCAGATACGGTAACAATGTTATAGATGCATTTAGTTAGACACGTGAACAGGAGGGAATAGAGGGATATGGACCATGTGCAGGTAGATGGGATGAGTTGAGAACGGCATCATGTTTGGCGCAGACATGGTGGGTCAAAGGGCCTGTTCCTGTGCTATACTGTTCCACGTTAATATATGCAGTGGTTTGAATTAAGTTTCTTGTGAGCTTAAAGGAAACACTAACCCTCTTTCCCAAAGGATGTTTCATACATGCAAACGGTTATTGGTTTTCATGTTTTTAGCTCTCCTTGCCATCATCCATAAATTTAATAGAAACATGCAAAATAGTAACAAGGATAGGCTGTTTGAGTCTTGCAGCCTGCTGCAGCATTCAATATGATATGGCTGATCATCCAGCTCAATAGCCTGTTCCTGTTTTTGCCCCATACCCTTTGGTTCTTTAGGTCTAAGAACTGTATGTATCTCCTTCTTGAAAACATTGAATGTTTTGACCTCAAGTACTTTGTGGCAGGGAATTTTGCAGGCTCACCATGTTTTGGATGAAGAAATTCGTCTTATTCTCGGTCCTCAATGACCTACCCCATATCCTTAGACTGTGACCCCTGGTTCTAGACTCTCTACTCATTGGGAAGATCCTTTGAGTTTACCTTGTCTAATCCTGTTAGAATGTTATAGGTTTCTATGTGATAATCCTCTCATCCTTCTAAACTCCAGTGAATATAGTCCTGACTCAGTTTTTCCATCTAGGAAATCTTCATTGCACTTCCACCAAAGCCGGAGTAGCCTTTCTTAGGTAAGATTAAAAGTGCACACGACACTCGGTGTGGTCTCACCAAGACCCTGTACAATTGCGACAAGACATTCCGGCTCCTGCGGTCAGAATCTCTTTTTCTGTGAAGGCCTACATACCATTTGCCATTGACCACTGCTCACCAGCATAGTGCACTTGCCAGGATTTGGGGCAATGATCCTGTGAAGCCTCAATTGATCTTGCCATCCTTGTTGACTTAGAAATGTTCACTCTCAAATCCTTTCATAATTGTAGAAGCAGAGAGAATATTTCCTTAATGGTGGAGTGTACATCTGGATTTCATCAATACCAAGAAATCCAGCAAGGAATTCTGAAGAAATTTCTTTAACCAAAGAGTGATGAGAGCAAAAGTTATCACATGGAAAGTGGATTAAGCAAATAATATAGACATATGGGGGAAGCTAGACCAGTGCATGAGAGAATGAAATAATGTGTTGATGCATTTGGATGAGGAAAGGTGGATGGAGATTTGAACAGAACATAAGTATCAATACATTAGACTAAATAACCTATTTTTATGCCTTTTTTAAAATGAAATCTGGGTTTAAAAAAGATGCCACTCAGTTGAGGGTGACAGCTGTAGGGGAGTTATTCTCACTTAACCCCATTCATTTTTCTCATACTATACATTTACTTGTAATAATTCAAGTTTCTCATCCTTGCTTGACCTTTTGATTTTCTTATTTCTGGAATTAAGATTGATAGAAGCAAATGAAGGGGGCATTCAATAGAGTGTATAGCACCAACACATTGCATTAAACAAATTGGTAAATGTATGGATCTCTTCCTTGAGGCTTTTCTCTCCCTGTTGTTCGCTAAGTACAAGGCTGAGAAAATAAGTATTTTGTTTAGAAATTCCATTCCACCTGAGGAGATGTGATGCAAATGCACATCCAGAAACCTGCGCTGGAAACTCTGCTTACATTTTGATAGCAGTGGCAAATTCCACCACAGCAACTGAAAGAATCCACAACATTCTAAATGAAACAATCCATTGCTTTCTTTTTAAAAAGAGTCAGTTCACCTCATCTCCCAATTTTAATAGGTCCTTTAAAACTTTCCAAGATTTGTACCCTCCATTTCACCAGAAACAAACAGGCTCTTTCTTGGGCCACATTCAATCTGTGTACAAAGTTTTGTTAAAATCATACATATGTTTTTGAAATATATTGGATATAAACAAACAGATGAACAAATGGGCAAAAAAAATCACCCATTTGGTGATAGTTATTGTTTAATGTTTGCTGTTTCCTTATTCTTTGTTATTACCTCTGCCTCTAATGAGCCTATGTTAACTTTTACTGATTTTTCTTTTCTTATTTGCCCCTTCAGTGACTTCTAAAATTCTCTTAATTCACAGGTTTACTAACCTTTGGATACATTCTAAGCTTTTTCCTTTGATCTAATACTATCTTTAATTCCCCTTGTTAGTCATGATTTAAATCACTACTTTTTTTCTGCAGCTACTTTGTGACATGGATCAGTGTGCATTTGGTGCAAATTTTGTGTTATACTTTTTAAAAACTAGCCATTGCTTGTCCCACATCAAGCAATGTAAAGTTCCAATCTGTCTTGGTAAATTTACTGCTTACAGAAACATAGAAAATAGAAGCAAAAAAAAAAGGACTTTCAAGCCATCGTTCCTGATCCTCCCAAACTTGACTGTCCTGAGTGAATCTCTTTTTTTTTAACTGTCTTATTGCCTTCCTTTGTTATTAGGGTTACCCCTTCCTGCTGTTAGTTTTCTTAAAGTTTAGCATCCTGCAGTATTTTACTTTTTAACATTGACTGCTTTGCAACCTTGAGGATGGGAAGCCATCCCTAAATTAACCATTTAGAGGATGGGGGAAATTGCTTATGGATGATGTATCCCAGTTGCTATCTCTGAGGCATGGTTTAAAAAAAACAAAGAACATAACTTTTGTTCTACAAATGCTTTGGTAACAATTGGGGCAATTTAATTAGTTAAAAATTTAAACATTAGTACTTTGCCTTGACTGCCTTTTCTCCCTGTTCTAGGATCCGTGCTCGATATCATTAAACATGTAGTAGCGAGAGGGGATCACAAGAATGGTGTTTTGGAGGAGGCAGTTATAGCCACTATTCTGAAAGAAGTACTGGAGGGACTTGATTACTTGCATAAAAATGGGCAGATTCACAGGTAAGCACAATCTGACCTGGTCAAATAATGTGCTGCCCTGTCAATTTCAAGGATGAGTGTGCCTTAGCAAGGATTTGGAGATGTAGAATCTTTGTGGTATGCCTTTGAGTTTATTGATGGTAATATCTCTTTCATACTTGGAAAGTGATGAGCAGAAATGATTTTGAAACTGGGACCAGAAGTAAAATCTCATGTCGGTTTGGCTCCCTAATGTGTTTCCATCTCAGAACTCTTGCTAGATTATTCAATTATTAATTGTCAAAGCCTGCTAATGGGGACACTTGTAGGAAGATCATCCTGGTGGACATGCCTTGGTCTCTATCAGGGTTGAGACTGGAAAATGGTTTTGATATTTAAGAATACGCTAAAAGAAGATTCTGCCCTAAATCTCATCCATGCTCACTCACCTGAAATGGTTGCTAGACCTTTATCCACTCTCTACATCTCTTTGTCTATTGTCTCTTCCTTTAAAACATTTGCATTTCAAAATACAGGCGTGGTATGTCATAATTTCCACTTCTTGATTTGTCTCTATTATCTGTTTTTAAGCTTGACTTTTTGTTCTGCAGACTTGTTCCCGCTTAGAGCTTTGCAAACTGGTAATACTAAGCATTGCAGTTGGATTTTGTAAAATTGAGGTTTGTTTTTTTTAGAAATTACTCTTCAAAAAACAGTTACTTTTTTTAAATGCAAAAGCTAAAGATCAGACCCTGTAAGGGCAGCTTGATCAGCTTAATTTAAATCCATCAAGTCAAGGGCCATGTTCTAATATCAAAATTGATGGAATGCGTCAACCAAGTGATTTAAAAATATGAATGGTAACTTTTATATTTTTCCTTTGCTGACTGGTTTTACCGTTGATGGTTTGGTTTACAGTCGTTACTCTTCAAAGCATTACTTGAGTGATTTGTTTGTTTGTTTCTGTGATCTGAATAGCAAGGAGAAAGTACTACAGTGAACCATAAGAGATAGTAGGAACTGCAGATGCTGGAGAATCCGAGACAACAAGGTGCAGGGCTGGA